CCCCATCAAGAGAAATGGGAATTCTTTAGGATAAGTTGTCGTTTTATCAACCTGCACACAGACTCTAGCAAAGGTTAATTGTCTTCTGAGCAGTAAGAGCGTCGACAGCGAGGGGAACTCCAACCTTTCTTGCAATCATGGAAATACCCTCCGAGTTTCAACAAACTAAAGGCAAATCGATTATCTTTATCCATATAGGGACGGAAGTGAAGTTTTCTTTTACCGGCTGAAAATGGGGATTCTATTTTTGCAAAACAAACGGTTTTCCAAGGAGAAACCACACCCCCTTAGATCATACCATATCATAGTCCTCCACCAAAGAGAAACGCAAAAGGAAGAAACCCTCACTAAGAGATAAAAGATGTAGCGAACCTTTGAGAGCCCAAGAGTTCCGAATAGCCCCAAGCAAAGCTTGGTAAAAAGGCCTCCTACTGATCGAGTATCCGACCAAGCATAAGCTCCAATCTTGAGCTGCAGATTTAATTTTTTCACTGTTGAAGGAAATGATCTCAGGTTCGGAAGGGAAGATCAAGAGGGGTATGTCAGTAGTTTGCGGTTCAATGGAAAACATAATATTTTTCCTATTGCGAGGAGGCGGAGGACTCGCACCAGCACCCTGAGAAGGGAGAGGTGGGAAATCAAGGAGAAGTTAGTGGTATCCATGAGAGCTGAGGAAGTCCTTCGGCAGAGCCCGGCGAACAGGAAGAGGGAAGGCGGGAACCAGGTGGCTAGAAGGGTGCAAACCCTAGCAGGCAAATCCCCCCAATGAGATAATAAAACTGTGAATATATTATAGTTGATGTTGCATGACTTCATTGTATACAAGCAAAGGAAGAACAGTACAAGTCTCGGAACAGCGTTACAGCAACACCAGCTAATCACATGCGTCAGAATTTTCGCTTTCTGAATCTCGTTTTGGGATTCGGATTCGGTTTCTCTGCTTTCGGGACCAGTTGAATACAAGAGAACCTTTCAGGCTAAAAGAAAGAATTCTATGCTGTCATTTCAAGTAATTAAATATTGGAACGCTAACATGGACCGTAATTTAGCTGTTACCAACATTAATTTTAATAATAATTAAATTATTGGTTCAACTTCAGTAGATGGCCCATGCCATTTTAAGAATCTTTACTTGATCAAAAATGAGATAATTTTATAATTTTTTTAAAAGTAAATTTTTAGTATAAAATTTATTAAATTAAAAATTTTTATAGAAAATAGCTATTTAAAAAAAATTAAACAATTTTATTAAATAAAACCTGAAGCAGGAATATTGAATAAGAGCTCTGTTCGTGATTAATCTCCTTTCAATAGAGTGGGCAACAATTTATATTGTTCATAGTTGAGGAATAAGGGTTTTAAACCCAATATATACTTAAAGTTCATTTAATAGTTAATTTATACTAAAATAATTGTACTGTATAATAAATTACTTAAGTTCAAAATAGATAAATTAGATTACAATGCTCTCTTAATCTTTTGTTGAAAAGCCTATATTTCTCAAAATGATCTTATAATTAAAATAAAATATATTGATAAAATGTTGATAAATAAATGTACTTCAATTTCTTTAGTATGATATGAGGAATCATCTTTTTTTTAAGAGTGAGCAATTTATCATAAAAATAAATTAATGGATAATGCATAACTCAAAGTAAAATCTCGTATTTCTTTAGGGAAATTTACATGCATACCACTTTATTTTATGCTATTTACATATCTAACATCCAAAATATTAATATTACATGCCTATCAACCATATACAACTTTAATATCAAATATATGTAATATTAATGTTTTGGATGTTAGAAATATAAATAGTATAAAATAAAGTGGTATGTATGTAAAACCCCCATTTCTTTATTATCCATAAACTGAACAATTTTTAGAAGTTTTTTAGCATATTTTTTTTTTATATATAATTTTTGCATTACATTTTTATTGAAATTAAATTAAATAGATCTTTTTAAATATACGATTCTAGACAATTATTAAGCAAGTCATCGTCCATCTTACCACACATTTGATGATTAACAATACTCATTCCAAAAATTATCGCTCCACTTGATAAATAACAATTAGTTAAGTTAATGCAAAAATAATGAGCAACTAAATTTGGAGATAGATATTATCATTTTTTGCCTTAATATTTTACTTTACAAGGTCAGCAATGCTGATTAAAGATGAAAACTCATCATTAATGTATATATCATTAATGCAAATGAATAACGTCTGATATTCAAACTCAAAAGCTCAATTTCTGAAAAAATATTTGGATATAACTCAGCAAGATGAATTAGCATTTTTTAATCAAAAGAACATAATGAATCACATAAGTTTAAATCCTCCACATAAGGAAGGAATTCAGTACTAGTTTCAAAAAATCATTATATAGCTCTTAAATTTGCATATTAACTACAATATAAAAATAACTTAATATTATCATGCTGAAATTTTGTTATTTATGCACATCTTTGTATTAAGTATCAATGAGCCGTAGTTATAGCATTCATAATTAGTACATCAATATAAAAAATTTTACAAAATATAACACTTTATCCAATAAAAAATTTCATTCATTCTCCTTCATTATATGAGGGCATTATTTAAATACATGAACCAATTTTATCACATTTTTAATGTCCTAATCTTTTATTTATAAAGATTATGATAACTAATTTGTAATTACCAAAATATTGATCAATAAATGTATTGTGAAGGCAAAATCAAAAGATTCAATTGCATCCATTAAAACATTTACTTCAACTGACTATTGCTCATGTACCATATCCTCCTTAATAATCTTAAGTACTTTGAGTACAAAACATACATTTTCATAAAACTAATTAAAGCATGAAAATGCCAACCTAATAGGTGTTATGTAAATATTAATATAAACTATCCCTAACAAATATCAAACATTAATATGTATTGCTATATTATAAATATTAATATGAAAAGCTTTAACATAAACAATAATGTTTTGTTTCAGACGGTTTTTTTGCTGCTTCTTAAAACTACTTTCTAGTACAAAATTTTTAATTTTTTACTAAAAAATTGATTTAAGAAGCAATAAAAAATCATCCGAATAAAACCTAAATACTTCAACACCGAATTATCCAATATCAAACAACAAAAAAAACAAATAGAGGCGAACAAAAAGAAGAAAATAAAGGCACACCATCGGTTATTCTTAAAACGAAGGCACTATCTCCAATTTTTCAAAAAATATATATATATTATTTTTCTTCATGCCTCATATAATTTTCCCCTTAATTGTGGCAGTATTCCAAATTATGATAGCTTTTCAGTGAAGAAGAACTATTCTTGGAACTAAAACTCACCGATCAGTACAAGTAGGACAAAACAAGATAAACAAAGTACAAATTTAATTAAAGGGAATTTACATACATACAACTATATTTATAATCATTTACATATCTAACATCTAAAAATTTGATATTACTCATATACCACCTAAAACTCATTTCATACATCACTTCTACCACTCCGTTACTTCCGCGCCTCTTCTGTCTTACAGCATCAACCTCTCCTCAGTTCTTCTAAGCGAAATGTACGTGGGGTTCTCTTCTTACATCGGTGCGGCCGCCGGTTCGCATTACATTCTCGGATGGAGCTTATGTTTGAACGGCAGAGAAGCAGAGCTTTTAGCTTTTAATCTCCCGTCTCTTTTGGCACTTCTAGAAGCTAAAAAGAGAAAGAAAGCGATGATTCTCTATTGGTTTCCGGTAGCAATCGTCGTGTTTCTCGTAATGGTCTTAGGTTCTCTGTTTCTAGTGTTTACGAAAAGGAGGAGACTTGCAGAGGAGACAGAGGAATGGGAATTCGTAGTACAAAGAATCTCCCATGATTCGAGACAGGGAATGAAGGAATTCGTAGCAGAGATTGCAACCATCGGCCGACTGGAGTGGAGCTCGTTCTTGTGGATTGGGTACTGGAGTTTATTAAGAAAGGAGAGTTGATTGAAGCGAGGGATAGGAGATTGGGGAATACGTTTGTGATTGAAGCAGTGGCGCGGCCGAGAATGAGGCAGGTGGTGCAGTATTTGGAAGGGCAATTGAGTATTCCGGCGTTGAAAGAGGAGGATATGCTTATTTTTCATTCTGGTTCTATGAAGAAGAGGTTGCTTGGGGATGCCAGTATTTCCGGCTCCGACGATGGAATTGTGGCGGCGAAGTTCAGGTTGGGATCACGGCATGTGGTGCGGAAGTAACGGAGTGGTAGAAGTGATGTATGAAATGAGTTTTAGGTGGTATATGAGTAATATTAAATTTTTAGGTGTTAGATATGTAAATGGTTATAAATATAGTGATGTGTATGTCAATTTCCCTTTAATTAAGCCATTTCACAAACATGTAAATAGCAATGCAAATTGAAAACCCTAATTACTGAAAACATATAAGGATCAGATGATTATCCATGAAATTCTTCCTCTCATTAAAAAAATTAATTTTTAAAATTTTTTATTTATATTATTTTTAAAATAACCTAATGAAAAGAATAAGCTGAACGCAGATCATCTTGATGTGTTGGTTGAGAATTTTGACAAACAATTAAAAGTTATTGCATTTAAAACTTCTATATTTGATATGTATGAGTTTGCTTTAACTGACTTAAATGAAAAAAAAAAAAAGTTTAAGCTGAACGTTGAATCCATAAAGAAACTATTTAAATTTTAAAAGGGCTAGTAAAATCTCAACATATATTTTTTATTTTTATTAAATTCTTAAAAAATTTATTTATTAGCTTATATTTTCTAAATTAATATAATTGATACAAAAATATAAAATTTACATGATTTAGCAGTTATTTTACCATTGTTAGCCGGGTTTAACAAAAAATCTAATTACATGCATAAATTAAAATAGAAATATTAACAAAATGTACCCGCTCGGAGTTAGATAAAAGCATGAAATTTGACATTTTGATGATAATTTTAAAAATAAAATTGGAAGAACGTTAATTTTATAAATAAAAAGTTAAATATTATAATTCCCCCAAAATTTTATTGGCAACCACATAATTACAGTTACAGCATGCATAGTAATCTTAACAATTCTGTCCAAAGTACTTCCCGGACAACCTCCTCTTACCCTAACCGGCGGTTCACCGACCCCGTCCGCGGCACACGGACCGTAGACTCCACAACAGAGCACGCGGCCGCCGCAGCTTTGCAAGATACATACAACCCCGACAAACTCAGCCCGCTGCCAGGAGACAAAACCGCCGTTCTCCGCCTCCTCGCAGCCGATCTCCGACGCAAAAACTCCTCTAACTCAGGATCTGCCGGCGGCGTCTCCTTGGCACACTCAGCGAGCGCCGCCGCGAACGGGTCGGCTTCGGACAGTGTTTTTATGGAATCAAATCGGATCGGTGGAGGAAGAGGGATGCGATCCGGATTAGAGTTGAAATAAGGTTTTCTGGGGTTTTTGGGGATACCAGGTTCGTGCTCCCAGGAGAAGGGAACGGTGGACGATGACGCGGAGCGCAGAGGGGAGGAGAAGGGAAAGGACTGAGTTCGCTGTGAAAGAGGATGGATCGTCGGGGCATCTATATCCGGAGATTCGCCGGCGGCGAGGAACGTCAGGCTCGGCGTTTTCTTCATGTGTTGTATCGGTTTCTACACGAGAAGAGTGAGGAGTGAGAGCGGGGGCTTTATTGACGGAGGCAAGGTAAAGATCAGTTCCGGTGGTGCTTAGTGGCGATTTAATTATTTGGTGGATTATGCATTAAACGGTTAGATGTTTAGATTGTATAAATTAATAAATGCGAATATTAATGTGCTGGTGTACGATAAGTAGTTTGAAATGGAGTTTGCTCTAATTTGTTTGGAACCAACGACCAGAAAGGCCTGAAGGGACTTTTTATAATGAATTTTAATTTATTTAAGGCTTTTTTTTCTTTTTAAATTGAAGGTTGTATATTAAAGCAATGTATATATACAAATTCATATATTCATATAAATATATATGACCTCTAAAATGAGGCCATAGAACATCTCCAACTAAATTCTTTATTTTCTTCTTTAAAATATAATAATAGTTATAAACAGTAATGTATCTACAATCAAACTTTATTTCTAACATAAGAAAAAATTTCATATAGATTATTTCTCATCTTTACTTTAGTCAAAAATATTTTTTTGTGAATAGTACGATGTTAATATTGTCGTTCCACCATTCACAGCCGCAAAAATTCACTTATTTTAGGGCAGTTCCAACCTAAAATATATTTTCCACTTCAAAATGTAATAGCAATAGTATAAAATGGTGATTCATCTCCAAACAAATTCCATTTCTCACATCAAAAAAATTAAAATAAAAAAATTTTAATGAACAGTGCGACCTTAATATTGGTATCACAGTATTCACAATCGAAAAAATGTGTTTGCATATGCCATTCAGGTGGAAGCTCCCCAATCTGCTAACAACATAATAGAATTCGGTTGGAGAAGCCCTTAAATTTTAATAATCTTGTTAGAGGTTCAATTTTCAATATTTCAATTGAGATTAAGTAAGAAAATATAAAGAATATAAAAATTGTTTAAATATAATCAAAATAATAAAATAATAAAACAGTAATATTATAATTTTAGAAATAAATAAATAAAATTAATGAAAAATATATTCAATATTTAAATTACGAACTTAATTTGGTTAGCCACAAGCAAATTTAGATGATCCATTGAAATATTATATATTTTTTTCTTTGAATACTCCAATTCCATCGAAATAAAATTAGTACGAGAGAAAGTCAATATTTGCTAAAAACACTCATGATTAACATACAAGCGACTGACTTTCAGATGTTTCCATTCTAAATATAACTAGTGAAAAAAAAGTCAATCCATCTATAATAATTAATCACAAGTGCTTAGACATTTCCACATCAACAACAAAATTGCTTGATAAATAATAGAGCAATTTGGTGATTTTTTGTGAGATTATTTTTTCATTTCAGAGATATGTGTATTAAGAATATATTTTTTATTTGAAGTTCAATGTAATATAACTAATTTGAGACACCAGGAAACATTTTTTAAAATTATATCACACCAAAAGAAATAATCATTCTAAAATAAACAAATAAATCATAAATATCTAAAAATTTAGGAGTTCTCCTAAGAAATAAATTTCATAACAAAATATACCTTGATATGATGTTTTGCTGTGAAATACAATGAAAAGAGAAAAAAAAAAATGGTACTTAGAGATTGCTTAAGAAAATAATGGAGGCACACTTCACTAACAAATGAAAAATAAATAACCTTATGATGAATGAATAAAATATATACTTTTTTGCCATTTTAGATGTTAAAAATGGGATATCATAGCAATGAAAGAGTCTAAGAAAATGATGAGTATTTTGAGGTATCTAGTCTCATTGTTGTATTCTTTGTTTGATATATTTATAAAGTTATGGAGTTATCATTAAGGGATAGAGATAGCCATTGCATTGGTCTCTGAAGCATGATAACAAGTGCGATGCACTTGCGGACTCTGCCCGCTGCCGCACTCGCGACTCGATTACCGTCTTTCATCGTTGTTATCACTGCCCAAAGTCACGAACTCTCAGACATCGCTTGCTGCCAGCACTCGCCGTTGTGGACTTTGCCCGCACTCATCGACCACCTTTCGCCTGCACTCGTAGACTCCGTCCCACTGTCACAGTCGTTGCTTCACCGTCGGCTTTGAATAGGAACTGGAACTAGCAACAGGAGATCAGCTCACGCTTCTTCAGTCAAATCTTCTAAATCTAGGTAAAGTCGTGTCAACCCAGCAATCCGTATGGGTCGGGTCCTGGTTGAAAGATACGACCCATTTGCAAAAATGGGCTGGGTTCGGGTTGACCCGTTTAGATCCTAGTCAACTCGGGTTTGAACCAAACCCAACCAGTCGACCCGAATTGACACCCCTATCCAATTCTTTGATCTAACATTCTAGTACTTAGAAAAATAATAATTTAATAAAATTATTTATTTATTCTAAATTTCAAAATAAATCATTATATTTTTGAATTTAAAGGTATATTATTAAATTTGTTTTTATATTAACTTTTAGTTACCTTTAAAATGATAATCAAAATTTAATAAATTAATCTTCTTTAAATATATGTGCTAATTTCAACTCATCAAATGAAATCTACTATATATAATCTATCCTCCGAGGCATATGACGATTCGCTCGCTCTCTGAGGTGTTAATTTACCTAATAAGATAACAACTGATTCTATCCAAGATCGCAACATCAAAATTCCATTTGTGTCTAAATTTCAGAGTAAACGAGCCTCTAAATGTAGGATATCTTTAGTGATTCTTTTAAGACCTTGGCTTGTTACATGAGTCTGAATTTCATATATATATATATATATATATATATATGTGTGTGTGTGTGTGTGTGTGTGTGTGTGCTGCACAAATATAAAATACATTTTTATACTGACAATAATATGATTAGAACTCTTTTTATGAACATTTAATTCCAAAATGAATATTTTCTTAAATATGTGAGTTAGCAGTGAAGATCTTCTACCATTATAAAGAAAATAGACATTATATATATATTCTTTTTTATTAAATATAAAATAATGTGATTTCTGTCGTGAGGACGGTTCTCATTGTCAAGGCATTAGTGGTGGGCGATAACAATGGTGATGGTTTGACACCTTTGTTAGTAGTGGCTAGTAACGATGATATTCGGGGCCAACAATGATAGTGGTAGTAGCTAGTTGTTTTTTGAAACAGTTAAAAATACCCTTAAAATATCTCAAAGGTGTTTAATTATTTTTTTAAACATAAGATATCTCAAAGGTGATTTTTAAAATATCTAAAAAATTGTATTCAACAAAGGTGGATGAGATATTTTGCTAAATGTTTTAAAGAAGAATGTGAAAATACGATTGACTTTACCGACCTTAGCACCCTAAATGAAAATAAATATTTCTGTTTTTATCAGAGTATTAGTAAAACCAGAGTTAGAGATGCTTTAAAGAAAATGATTTGTGGAAAAGCTGTTGAACCTGATGATATTCCAATAGAGGTGTGAAAATGCTTAGGAGACGATTGAATTTCTTGGCGTACTAAACTTTTAATGCTATTTTAAAGACTAAAAAGATGCCATATGAGTGGAGAATGAGTGTATTAATTCATATTTTTAAGAATAAATGTGATGCACAAGATTGTAAGAATTATAAGAGAATCAAGTTAATGTGTCATACTTTAAAACTATGAGAGTGAGTTATGGAGCGGCGACATGATAATCATGTTTCTCAAAATCAATTTGGATTCATGTCAGATTGTCGGGTTGGTCTACTATTGAAGCCATACATTTATTGAGAGGCTCGATGGAGAAATATAGAGAGAATAAGGAGGATCTACAAATGATATTTATTGATTTAGAGAAAGCATATCATAAAGTTCCAAGAGAAGTACTTTGGGGAGTTCTTGAAAAGAAAAGAGTTAATAATGCTTATATTCATATCATTAAAGATATGTATCCATAAGTTGTTACTTTTGTTTAAACACAAGATGGTTTGACCAAGTATTTTCTTATTTTGGTTGGATTACATCAATGATCAGTGATCAGCCTTAAGCTCATATCTTTTTGCTTTAGTCATGGATGTTCTCACTAGACATTTGCCAGAGGATGTACCTTGGTGTATTCTTTTTTCTAATGATATTCTTCTTGTTAATAAGACTAGAGAGGGAGTTGAAGGTAAACTTGAATTATGGTGGTCAAACTTAGAGTTTAAAGGTTTTTGCTTGAGTAGATTTAAAACTGAATATATGGAGTGTAATTTTAGTAAAAATATACCTAGTTAGGGGATTGTGACTTTGGGTGATCAAGTCATTAATAAGAGTACATATTTTAGATATCTTGGATCAATTGTTTAGAGTAATGGTGAAATAGATGGGGATATTATCAGCAGAATTCAAATTGGATGGTTGAAGTGAAGAAATACATCGAGCTTTTTGTGTGATTGAAAAGTCCCACTCAAACTTAAAAAAACTATTTTTATGTTGGTACTGAGATTTGCAATGCTTTATGTTTCCGAATGTTGTCCATTAAAAGAGAATCATAATACTAAGTTATGTGTTGCAGAGATGAGTATGCTAAGGTGGATGAGTGGCTTTACCTTTAGAGATAGGATACTAAATGAGCATATACCTGAAAAGGTTGGAGTAGCGCTAGCGGAAGATAAGATTAGAGAGAGTCGCCATAGATGGTTTGGTCACATAAAATGACGACCTTTTGATCCTATTAGGAAAGTAATTGTATTAGATTTGACTTATGTTAAGAAGGGTAGGCGTAGACCTAAAAAGACCTGGTTAGAAAATATTAGAAATGATCTTTCTTTATTAGATTTAAATAAGAATTTGACTTTTAACATGACACAATAGAGAAAAAGGATACATGTAGCCAACCCCATGTAGTGGGCCAAAGGCTTTATGTTGTTGATGATGTATAGTCTAAACAAATATTTTTTAAGAAAATTGAAATAAAAATAAATGAAAAAATGAACTCAAACAAATCCTTAGTAAATAAAAAAACTAGGCCTTTTGCTAATGGAGAGGGTATTGTTAACTACCAAATCTTTATGCAAAACAAAATCAAGTTATAATTCGTTTATGAATTTTATTC